ACACAGCTTCACTTGACGGCCAATATGGCCGACGCTAGGCCCTGTGATATCACTTGCAAATACTAGTGAACAAGCCAGCACGGCCACGCACAAAAGCAAGTCCGATTCTTGTGCCAAGTAAAACTTACTAAGTACAAGGTACAGCTTGCTCAGTACACCTAGTTTAATGTAACTAGGTAAGTCGAGCTAGGTTAAACAAAGGCACTAAAAAGTACTAAGTTGCCATCACTACCACCAGCTGAGGCCATTCGTATCAGCTGACATTAACAACTAGCACAATTACAAAATAACGCCTCCACCAACTGGCGCCACCACCACCACCACCACCAGCTGACGCCATCACTACCACCGGCTGACTAATACCAGCTGACACTACCAGCCGGCACAACCATCAACTGACGAGGCCTCAACCAGCTGACGCCACAAGCACCACCACCACCAGCTGACACTGCCACTAGCTGACTCCGTCAACACCAGCTGACACCAATAGATATTCCGCCAAACTAAAAAAATAAATATCAGAAAACTGTCAGACTGTGGGATACATCATACATAAGGTGATGATGCTAGCTGACCTGGTGGTATGTGCTAGGTATGGTGGTGGTCATAGTTTGACTTGGTGACGTGCGAGAGGTATTTGTAGCGATCCTAGCTTGACCTGGTGATATGTGATAGGTATGGTGGTGGTCATAGATTGACGTAGTGTGGTGTGATAGGAAAAACGGTGGTCTTTGCTTGACCTGGTGACATGTGATAGCCTGCCTGCAGCAAGATCCACACACCGGCAAGCCTTACAAGACTTTTCAGAGATCTGGCAGATTATCATTGGCTTCACAGGAGAGCGACTGAGCCGTTATACAGTGCATGAGGAATGGAAGGCAACCAGGTTTCATTTGAGGAAGAGGAACAGAATCTTTGATTCCTTGCATCAAGAGCTCATTAGGAGGCTTCTCCCCATTTAGCCTATTGAGAAGAGCATTCCACTAAATCGCAAGGTTACCGGATAAATTCTTATGGTAAGTTTTGACACCAGCTGTCTCTGCCCACCTAGTAGTAAAATTAGGTTACGAGTCGCTTCTTGGAGGACAAAGGTGTTAGAAAATGCCAGTTATACCGAAGTGTCCTTTTCTAAGCTAACTTCAATACCTGTTGAAAATATTAATTTGTTGGGTAAAAGGAATCCGCGCACCTAATGATATTAATTAAAATCCTTTCCTCTTTGAAGAGATGAGAGGAATTAAGGGTGGAGTGGACGAGAATGGGAGTAACAGAGACCAGACGAGTGATAAGGGAAGCAGGAAAAGAGTTGATGAATTCTGGAATTGGACAGGGACTGGAGCCTCGCTGACGTCAGATGACCAGTGTTCTGAGTAAACCAGGTCATGTTGATAGTCCTTTACTCCAGTCTATGAATAATTTGTCTCTCTCATCCAAACGCTTGTTGAAACAGCGCCTCTGTTGTCAATTATCTGTCACGTTCCAGTACATTTCTTTCCATTTCATACTTTGTGAAACCTTTGCTAATGACTATATATAAACTAACACCTAATAAAATATCCTGGATAAATATATTTATCCATTATGCAGTCTACAATAATTTATACAAATAACAAGTTCTTTTTTTCAACGTCCTTGCTTTCAGTTGACTTGCGAAAAAAAAGTGTGATTGATCTGTTATAAACATGCTCTTTCCCATTCATTACAACAACAGTGTGTTATAGTGGGGGAGGGAAGGGGGATCCGACAGCATATGTTGGGATGCTGACAGCATAGTGGGAGGGTACTAATAAAGGGTTGGTGCTTACACTTTAGAACCCGTGAAAATGTTGATACCACAATGTTATACCGAGTACACACATTATCCAGTCTACTGTTCTCCAATTTAAGCATTAATTATTTGCCAAATTACCTTCATATTTCTGCGCACTCAGAAAATTTCCATGATTTTTTAGTTATATTATGTTAACGTACATTACCCTATATTTACGCATGGTACCAGGCTAAAACATTAAAATTGTGACATGGGTGGCTTTCGATTGGCAGTGCGGGGAGTATCGTAAAACAGTGTGCGCGTAGTGTTCTGGTGAATGCTTTAAATAACGTTGGAGGATGGGGGAAGGGGAAGGGGGGTGCATAACTATGTTCGACTATTCCTCTTCTAAGGTTGCTCGGCTTAGTGAAGTCTCTCCTGGTCCAGCCCCCTCGGTTCTAGCACTCACCACCTGACTTTTAGATCTTTGTGTGTTTCTTGACTAGCTATCATATTCGAGAGATTCATACTGACGCCTCATACTCCATGACGAGTCTAATGTATGTTGTACATAATGTCATAGTGTGGAAAAGAGAGAAAATGTGGGTTATGGTATTTTAATGTATGGTTTCATCCAGCGGTGTAAACCGACAGTCCCAGGTGGTCTAAACGCCTTCACAAGAAAATGCAATAACCGCATATTGGCTCATTGTTAGTATAGTCTATCACTGTATTACCATGATGTCATAGTTATTTCTTTGTTAAATCTCCTGAAAAGTTATTAGGCTAACTAGTTTCTGCGACAAGCTTGATGCTGAACTTACAATCTTTCTCCTCCTTGTACATTACTGCATCATATCTCCCAAGTTGTACTCGAGACTGGCCATCTCACACTACCTCTCCCATTCACCTGACCAACTTATCATTTTCCAGACACGCTGTTTTCATACAATAACCCTTCGAATATGTTGCTATATCAATATTCACGAATCAATATAATTCATATGTATAAAGGTATTAACTTAGCAATATTGCTAAGATTACAGAGATTATTTAAAATATGTGCATGTGAATGTTATCTCTAAAATATGTAGAGAAATGTCAACAAGATCAAGATCATAGAACATACAAAAATAATAGTCACAAATTTTATTTAAATAAAAATTATTACACACACACACACACACACACAATCAACACAATGGTAACACACACACACACACACACACAACACACACACACACACACACACACACACACACACACACACACACACACACACACACACACACACTCATACAATAGGCCTAGTGTCGAATCGACATGTGCCTAGGACAAAATGGTAACACACCTTATTTCAGGTAAACCATTTTCTGAGGCTGTGACACCCCCCTCCCTCCCTCAACATATCCGTGGGTGGGAATGCAGGCAGATGGTGTCATTCTGTGAAGCTGAGTGACACGCCCACACATCCTAGGTGGGGAAGCACGATGATGTGTTATTCGAGAGGCTGACTGTACATGCATGGCTGACCTTGAGGAGGGTTTGGACACACCTAAGAGCACAACTACCGTGTGCACATGAAACAGTTTTGAGATTGAAATCCGGAATGTCCTGTAGTGGAAAGCTATGTTCACAGGAGTAACCAAGGAAGGCTATGTCAAAAAGGTATCATATGTTTAGGCAACAAACGTCAGTTTTCCCGGACAACCAGGAAAAAGTCATTTACTTTAGGCACCAGCGCAACCTGCAACTCCGAAAGCTTGTTCACTCTCATAAGAAACTTTAGTAGTTTTACATAATGTTACAAGTGAGAAAAGCCCAAGAAAAAAAAAAACGAAATCCTCTCAGTAATTCCTGGTCTTGCTGACAACCACGAACAGTTCAACTGAACCTTCCCGAGCCAATAACACGTTCCTATTCAAGCCAGATATTGAAATGCGACCACTACCAGCGTCTTACAGAAGATTAAAAAAAAATCAAAAAATCATTTTAAATAAAGAATAAGTTTGTTTCTGAATTACATGACAATCTGAATGTGCAATACAAGAAGAAACACTGTGCACATTCACAAAGCTTTTATGTGAAAGTCTGCATCATAACATTAACATTTTCTCATTAGCTATCATTCCGTGAATCTAATCATTTTCCTCAATGATGTTTCTACACAGGAATACTATTAAAAGACTCCTGTTGAACCCACAGTGTGCCTGATTACATACATCTCAAAATCCTTCAAATAAACACTGTTCCGGCACGACTCACGACAGATAAACAATGTTTAATACACACATCCGACCAGCAATATGGCAGACACACTGTGACGTTAAGTGCAAACACTTACCAAGATTCAGTCTAGTAATTATTTTCTAACCACAGTTGGAGCCCTTTAAATGACAATTTTAAGTCCATCTCTTAGACCTATCCGACTGCTAGCATTCTCAGTAGTTTTAAGTCATTCACAAACAGTGAGACAAAAATATTTTCTCTGGAAGACCACAGACGTCCCAGAACCAAAAGGGGTACAAGCAGTGACCCTTCGGGAAATTTATTAGTTACACTTTCCCACTGTTACCTTTCTTTTTACTAAAATGTAGGGGTATGATTGCCATGGGGGTATGATTGCCAGTTCTTGAATACCTAGGAGAATGTTAAAAAAAGAAGTACAAGTGCAGAGTAGGCACCTGATACGAGGATTCCATATGGCTATGACAAGGTACCTGGTATGAGGATTCCGGATCGCTATAACAAGTCAGGCCAGGCAGAAGAGCTCGATTCGGGATGCTGATAAGCGTGGTGGGGGGGGGGAGGAAGAAGGTGGCTGTTAGCATAGCATGTCCCATGAATCTACAGTCATTTTGTGAATCACAACCCTGCCGCGTCTTCCTTACACATCACTAACTCATTGCTTTATAGTGAAAAAAATAACACGTTTAACAACGCAATCTAACGTGACCCTTTCCCTCTTCCCAGTCGCGTGAGACACGCAAAGGAAGGAATGAGTAGATACGCGACGGATGGAGCTGTAAACAAGTGAGGTAGTGCAGTTACCTGAGTGAGCCAGGTGGGGGGAAGCATCATTACTGCCGCTGTACCAGGCTCTCTACCACCCCTATAACACACTCATCAAAACAACGAGGGAGATTAGAGGGGAGAAGGGAGGGGGGGAGAACAAACAAGAATAAGTTTGTGTGGGAGGCGGGGGACCCCAACTGCGTTATCATACTAACACACAGATTCTACTTACCACCTCCATATTTGCTGTCGGAGTTAGCGTGGGCGTGAGAAAGGCCAAAGAAGACGAGGAGCACCCACACCGCCCACGACACCATGCTCACGCCGCTCCTGGCCACGGTAGAAGAGGATTGAGCTACCATATGTTAGATAGAGCCCGCCATGTCCAGCGATCGATACAACACAACGCACTCTCGCGACGGGTGTTCTCGTTACCAAGGCGCGCCGCTCACTGGCACCACCAGCACCACCACCACCGCTGCTAGTGCCATTCCCTGACATGCGTGTACACGTGTCCGTGTGTATGTACGTCGTTCATTGTGTGTACGTAGCAGACAGTGCATGTACATAGGTCCTAGTGTATGTACGGAATTATTAAATAGATGCATGGATTCCTGTTAATACACATTGCCCCCCTAGTGTAGGTACGTGGCCCCCAATATATGTACGTGGAACCCAATGTAAGTAAGTAGCCACCCTAACAGCTGCATATGGCAGCCTGTGCATGTACATGGAAGACGATATATGTGGGAGCCAGTGTATCTTCCAGTGTATGTCCGTAGTTGGCAATTTTAAAATATCTACTAATGTGTGAAACTTCCGGTGTACCAAAGAATTTCCAGGTGTATGTACTTATCTTCGGGTGTATGTACGTGTCTGCATAGGTATATACTAATTTGAGGATCCATGTATGTATCTGAGGGGACACGTACGTTTCTGTGAGTACATCTGATCCCCACAGCATGTACGTTACTACCACGCATGGACGCGACTCCCCAGTGCATGTCCGTGACTTCTGTGCATGTATGGCACTGACTCCCAGGGTACAGCAATGACTCCCAGGGTACGGCAATGACTCCCAGGGTACGGCAATTACTCCCAGGGTACGGCAATGACCCCCAGGGTACGGCAATGACCCCCAGGGTAAGTACGTGACCCCCAGTGTATGGTGCTGACCCCCAGTGCATGGTACTGACCCCCAGTGGATGGTACTGACCCCCAGTGCATGGTACTGACCCCCAGTGTATAGCACTGACCCCCAGTGTATAGCACTGACCCCCAGTGTATAGCACTGACCCCCAGTGTATAGCACTGACCCCCAGTGTATAGCACTGACCCCCAGTGTATAGCACTGACCCCCAGTGTATAGCACTGACCCCCAGTGTATAGCACTGACCCCCAGTGAATAGCACTGACCCCAGTGAATAGCACTGACCCCCAGTGAATAGCACTGGCCCCCAGTGAATAGCACTGACCCCCAGTGAATAGCACTGGCCCCCAGTGAATAGCACTGCCCCAGTGAATAGCACTGACCCCCAGTGAATAGCACTGGCCCCCAGTGAATAGCACTGACCCCCAGTGAATAGCACTGACCCCCAGTGAATAGCACTGACCCCAATGATAGCACTGACCCCAGTGAATAGCACTGACCCCCAGTGAATAGCACTGACTCCCAGTGAATAGCACTGACCCCAGTGAATAGCACTGACTCCCAGTGAATAGCACTGACCCCCAGTGAATAGCACTGACTCCCAGTGAATAGCACTGACCCCCAGTGAATAGCACTGACTCCCAGTGAATAGCACTGACCCCCAGTGAATAGCACTGACCCCCAGTGAATAGCACTGACCCCCAGTGAATAGCACTGACTCCCAGTGAATAGCACTAAACCCCAGTGAATAGCACTGACTCCCAGTGAATAGCACTGACCCCCAGTGAATAGCACTGACCCCCAGTGAATAGCACTGACTCCCAGTGAATAGCACTGACCCCCAGTGAATAGCACTGACTCCCAGTGAATAGCACTGACTCCCCAGTGTATCACTGTACGTAAGGTAACTGCAGTGGTTGATAATGGTTCTGACGGTGCCAGTGGCGTTATCCATGCTAGTGATGCTATTGATAGCGGTGTTAGTGGAGATACTTCTGCTAGTGATAGTGCTTTATTAGTTTTGGTGGTGTTATTGTAGTGGAGGGGTGGTGATGGTGCAAGTCTGAGTGGTAGTGGTGGGAGTGCTGGAGTAATGACGCAGGTGATGGTTGTGGTCTCCAGAGTGACGGTGGGGTTGGTGATAGTGGCGGTGCTAGGTGGTGACAGTGGCGGTGCTAGGTGGTATTGCCCTCTTATCCTTCTTTTCACTTCACAGGATGTCGAGGTACAATAAGTTGATTAATTTCTAACTACTTTTCATAGGGAGTCAAAAAATCACAAGTAAAAATTTATGGCCTTTAATATATTGTTCTTAATATATTGTTCTTTAGAACATATCAGTAATAAAATATTAGCTCGTCTCTGGTATCTTACGAGTGCACAATTATTTACAAAGAACTATGTACAAGATTTTTGGGTTTTATTTCCATTCACAAGAATAAAGTTACAGGTTACCACCCGGAAGTTTCCACATCACCGGTGAATATATCAGATATTTAACAGACGTAAGGTAAGTCCCCCACGAGCACCTTCTTCAATATGATCTAAGTGATTATGGCTCTGTTACAACGGAGGACTTCCAAACAATGCGCCTTGAACTATACATCGGCTGCTACTGACTGTAGAGGGGGAGGAGTGACCTGACATACGCTGTGAGGGTCAGCGTGTTAATCAGAAACTGGCTTGTTACCAAGTGCTTCATATATCGCACTGTTACACCTAACCTAAATAATTTTACTAAGTACATAAATTTACATGATTCCACATGGTAACTCATATGAGGCCCCAGAGAATATTACACAGTCGAACTTGCTTATTTTAGCATTCAATAAGGAAGTGTGGAGAAAATTTCTCCAGTAGTGGTGGTGAAAGTAATAGTGATGGTGGCTGTGATGGAGCTAGGCAGTGTTGATAGTGGGTGTGATGGAACTATAGAGTGGTGATAGTGGTGGTGAAAGTAATGGTGATGGTGGCGGTGGAGCAAAACCCAGGACAGGATGAGTTCAGAGCAGGTCGCTCCTGCCCTGTCACTACTACTGGATCATTATGCACTGAAGGACAAACGGAATGCAGATATTGTAGTATACACAGACTTTGCAAAAGCCTTCGACATGTGCGATCACGGTGTAATAGCTCACAAAACACGTATTAATAGAATAACCGGAAAGTGGGTAGATAGATCTAAAACTTTCTAAGAGAACACAAAGAGGCTGCCAGATAAACTCTGTTACACAAGGCACAGACTTGCTCCCATCCTTTTTCTCATCTTCATATCCCACAGATGGTCAAGTAAGTCATAGTACAGTGTCCTCATTTGCTGATACCAGAATATGAATGAGAGTCATCCATCGAGGCCACAATCTTCAAGCGGATATAAACCAAGTCCTCAAATGGGCCACAGAAAATAATGTGATGATCAATGGAAACTAATGTCTGTTATAAGACCAATTCTAACGACACAACAGAAAGGAAAATTAATGTGACAGACGCATGTGTAATAATGTCAGAAGATCTCAATATCAAGGATCACAACAGTGTCATTATTACAACTACAAGAAAAATGATAGGATGGCTAAAGAGAACCTTCAAAACAAGAGATGCCAAGCCAGTAATGATCCTCTTTTAAGTCACTTGTTCTATCTAGGCTTGAATACTGCTGTTCGCTAACAGCCCTTTTCAAGGCATCTCAATTACTGGGAATGTTTTAAGTCCCTTGACCAGCACGCCTTGGAGAGTAGGCGAGAGAGGTCCATCATAATTTACACCTGAAAAATTCTAGAGGAACTGGTCCCAACTCTGCACACGGAAATCACTCCCTATGAAAGCAGAAGACTCGGCAGACGGTGCAACATCCCCCCAATGAAATGCAAGGGTGCCAATAGCATACAGAGGAAACACAAGTGTTAGCATCCCAAGGCTGTTCAAAGCTTCCCATAATACATAATGGGGATTACAAATAGACCCCTGTCTTGTGATAGTGCTGGTGGGAATAGTGGCGGTAATAGAGCTAGGTTGTGATGGTGAGAGGTGATACTGGAGATAGTGAGAGTGGTGATAGAAGCGGCGGTGCAGATGTGTTTACAAACTGTCAGGACAGTCGACTGTCACCGGAAATGAAGTGGAGCTGATAACAGCCAGGAACATGTGCTTCACTCAATGTTGCCCCCCCCCATGCCACTACCAGACGCTACTCCCACACCCACACACAACCAAACCACTACCAGACGCTTCTCCCACACCACTACCAGAGGCTGCCCCCAAACCACTACCAGATACTGTCCCAACACTACCACCACCCACACCACAGTCAGATGAAGCCCCCACAGTTACACCAGTTACTGCTCCCACACACATCACTACCAGATCTTACCCCCAAATCCCCACACCACTACCAGATGCTGCCTGCACACCCCTACACCACTAATAGATGTTTCCCCCCACACCTCCATACTACGATCAAATGCCCCAATACACCACACCACCACCAAATGCTGAGCCACACCACTAACAAATGCTGTCCCCACACTATTGCCAGATGTTGAATCCTTTCCCACACTATCACAAGATTCTGCCCCCACAGCCCCATTACTACCAAATGCTGCTTCCATACCTCCCCAATATCAAATGTTTTTCCCACACTCCATACCATATGTAAGAAACTACAAGCTACTGGCACTGTCTCTGTAAACTGGTTTAAGTTCTACCGGAGCAAGAGGAAACAAATTGTCAAGATCAATAACAGAGGATCAGAACCCCTGCCGATAGCATGTGGGGTTCCCCAAGGTAGTATCTGGGTCCCTTACTATTTTTATGTGAGTGAAATGCCCATCAGTGTCAAGTGTACACTTCTGTTGCATGCAGACGACAGTGTTCTACTAGCCTCAGGTAAAGATCCAAGAGATATAGTTAATGTACTATCATTAGTACTAGAATCCTGCAGCAAATGGTTAATAAACAAACTATAGCTACACCTCTGGAAAACAAAAGCCATACTTTTTGGCACCCAAATTAAACTGAGAATTTCAAGGTAAAAACTTTTAAAGGCCAGTGTAATGGGGAACCCATCACTTCAGTGAAATATCTGGGACTTCCCTATGACCCAATCATGTCAGTAGAATTAATAGGAAACAATGTATTAAAAAATAAGAAAGCGAATGCCAGGCTAACGTTCCTCTGCAGACAGGAATAATGTCTACATAATGAAACTCGCAGGACTCGATGTCTAGCTCTTAAACAATGTCATATTAATTATTCTTCTTCTTCACGGTACTCTATTTTTATGAGACTACAATTCACCCAGAACAAAATGGTGAGCACCTAGCCG